GAAGCCATGTTAGGTGTCTGCATGTTCCCTGAAACTAAAAACCTTGCGTTTTACACCATTGCCTGACTTTACACCATTGCCTGACAGGGTTGCCTGGATCAGGCACATCTACGAACCTTACAGAGGTTCATAGGAGATACCACTTGGCCTTGGTATCTCCACTCTGCTTCACACTAGCTAGCCTTATGACTTGGGATAGCTCTGCCTCTGGGCCGACATCTAGCTATTTGGATACTGAGCTGGGAATTTGGACATCTGGCTGAACTTTCTTGCCTTGCTCCTTCCCCCAAAAGTGGGGGAATTTACATGGATATCCTTGGGCACTGGGATGTGATTGGTGAAGATTAGGGAGCCGTGGGACAGGAGTGTTCACATGTGCACCTCCACCAGTGGGCTGTAGTGTAGAGGAGGTGCAGGGCTCATGCAGCAAGACCCATACTTTTGTGTAAGGGTCAGAGGCCTGTCATGGGCTTTGAAGAGTAATCATGACCAGTCCCCTGTGTCCAGGCAGAACTAGCCTTCCCTAGTCCCGGACTGAGGAGAGGAGAATTGGCCTATCAGAGATCTGCCCCTGCTGGAGGAGATCTTTTAGCCTCTCCTTCCCATCTTCTTCCTCTCTTGGTGAAGTTCTTTCTAAAATCAATCCCAGGTGCCTCTGCACTGCTGTCCTGGTACTTCCAGCCGAGTCCTCGGTAGAGGTGAGGATCAATTGGTGCCATTTTTAGGTGCGTGTTTGTGTTCTGCCCCTTACCTCCCTTTTCTTCTCTGGCTAAGTTACCCTGACTCTTACAGTGCTTCCTCCCAGCCCTGTCCTCACCATTCTCTGCTTCATGTTTCCACCTCAGGCCTAAAGTAGGTGGGTCTGGGCTGCCAGGTGGGCCAGGGCTACAGCAGTGACAAAAGGAGGTGGTGACTACAGCTGCCAGCACCTGGTCATCCATCCTCAGGACATATCCTACTTAGGGTACCCATGTCTGTGTTCAACTCCTTGTCCATCACTCCTTCCTGGTCTGTATTTTGGCCACCTTTCCCTCCCCCCACATCCCCCAATACACATATATACCCCAGGCCCTTGCTCCCTCTGCCTCTTGTCAGATTTTGAGTGTATTTTTTTCCAGAGGCCTTCAATTGTTTCCTGAAGAAACCCGATCCATAGCTCAGACAAAAGCTGGGACTGCCAGAGGAGAAACCCCATTCTTTCCCCCTCTGTCCCTATCTCCCCACCTCCATAACCTCTCCCGCTTTGGATGCTGGGTATGGGTTCCAGGACCTGACTGCCATCACCTAGGCAACAGGGGGCTTTGGTTGCTATGGTGATCAATGTGGGAGAAGCTGGGCAGCTGGGACAAAAGCCCCCACATTCCCCCCAGCCCTCCCCCAGTCCCCTTGGGATGATACTGAGACACATTCCATTAATTTTATTTCTGAAAGGCCTTTGGAGGGGAGAAGGGTCTCCTTTTTTGTGCTGGGCTCTCTCTTCCCTCCCTCTCTCTTCTCTGGCCTCCTTTTAACCCCAAATAATCCATGGCTGGTTTGAGCAGGGTACTGAGTGCATGTGGTTTTGTCTTGGGGAGTGAGGATGAGGTGAAAAGCAGTAGGACATAACTCCCCTTTTACAGCCTCCCACCCTCCATCCCCCAGCCCAGTGCGGCTCTCTACCCTGTGCCAAGTCCAGACTTCTCTCCCATCTCGTCATTCCTCTGACATTTCCACTTGTTGATCTCATCCGGTGATCCCATCCCCCACTCTCTTCCCTGGGAATGCTGCCCACCCGGGAGACCCTCCAAACTCTATTTCTGAGATTGATTAAGGGAAAATTCTGTTCCTCTTTTTGCTCACCTCCTATCTCTCTCTGCAGCCTCTCCAGTCCTAGGATTAGTTTTTGGAGGGACAGCAGAAGTTGGGCTCATTTGTGGCTCTTCTGTGGTAGGGGAGGGAGGGGCATGTTTTGGTGTATTTCAGACACCCTGACAGGTCGGGGATGCAGGATTTGTGTTGGGTCTTTAAAAAATAGCTGGGGAGGGAGGTAAGGGGCTCTAGGCTGAGCAGCTCAGAACAAAGAGTTGGGAGGGGAGTAGCACCCTGTCTGGCTTGAAATTTTTTATCTGTAAGGGAAACACTGGCTTCAGCTTACCTCTGGGTGTGTTTGAAGCGGTTGTTGTGTGTGTGTGTGTGTGTGTGTGTGTGTGTGTGTGTGTATGTGTGTGACTTTTTTTTTTTTACTTAGTCATACAAACAGCAAGATTTATTTATACTACCTCATTCCCTAGTCTCAGAGCAAGTGTCTGGGGATTGGAATATGAATGATCTTGGAGCTAGAGCTTATTAATTGCTTAACTGAGTACTAGCTGTGCACTTTATGAAAGCACTTCTTTTACCCCCTTGATTCTTACAGCAATCCCATCAAGGAGGGACTATCACCTTCTCTATTTTACCTAGGAGCCTACCAGGCTGCAAGCACAGAGTAACTTGCCCATGGTCATACAGATAGTTAATGGGAGAGTTAAGTTTAGAACCCAGATCTTCAAGTGCAAATGCCAGGCTTGTTTTGTTGTTGGCTGTAGCAGATGTGGGTAATCAGGGTGGGGGTGAGGAGGTGGCAGGTAATAGGGTCTGTGTCTGGACTCTAATTCATGGCACTTCTTTGCCCCTCTTTTTCGCCATTCTTCACTCTGTAATCCATTTGCTGTCTTTCAGCCTCATGGCAAAATTCAGTTTTTAAGAGGAGGACTGGAAAGAATAGGTTGGAACCACATCAGAAGTGGTGCAGGTGAGATGTCTAAACCATATGGTGGAGTAAACCAGTAGAATGGGTTCTCACAGAGCAGTAGAGGAACCCAATATGTAATTTGCAGACAGAGGTGAACATGGGGCCTGTTTGTGGCAAAGGATTTTAGAGAGGTTCAGAATTGGATTGAAGTACTATGTCTGTGTCCCTAAGTATGTTCCTATCACACACATGCTTTGACATCAGGATATTGACAAACATCCTGGGCACATGGATTGTCTCCAGATGACTGTTAGGAGGATAAATGAATGAACTTCACATTGCTTCTATCTCCCTGCAGTCGCAGTTTCCCTGAGGCATTTTCACTTATGAGGTGGGTATCAGTAACTTGCCCTGTGGTCACAGGAGGAGAGATGGATACAAATGTGTACCATGCATAGTGCTTATTCTCAAGTTGCTGATGGTTTAGCGTATTTGGAAAAAAGTAACTGTACTACTCAAATCCTTTTTAGGTCTTAACATAATGAACCTCTCAGGAGCATTTGACCTCATTGGATTTTTACCCTCTTAAAACCCTCTTGAGACTCTACTATTCTGACCTCTTGCTCTTCTGGTCTCACCTTAATCCCTTTGCTTGCTCCTTTTCCTCTGGACATGTGCAGTTTGGAGTTCTCAGGTCCCTGGTGTAGTCCTCTCCTGAGGGCATGCTGCTCATCCCAGTGGCTCTGCATGTCTTCCATACTTCCTGGATGACTAGCTGCCTATTGCATCATGGCCATGAATTCATGAGTTTCATGCATGGGAAACAAAACTCATCATTCTCCCCAAACTTGCTCCTCCCCATTCGTCCCCATCTTACTTAGGAAACAGCCATCTTCTCCTTTGCTCAGGCCAAGGATTCTTTTTTTTTTTTAGGGGTACTGGGATTTGAACTCAGGACCTTGTGCTTGCTAGGCAGGCATTCTATCACTTCAGCCACACCCTCAGCTCATTTGCTTTTTCAGGTTATTTTTCACATAGAGCCTTAAGTTTTTGGCCCAGAGCCAGTCTTGGACCAGAATCCTCCTACTTATGGCCTTCTCATAGCTGGGATGATAGTCACATGCCACCATACCTGGCTTATTTGTTGAGATGGGGTCTTACTAACTTTGTGCCTGGGTTGGCCTTGATCCTCCTGATCTCTGCATTGGGGCAGGCCAGGATTACTGATGCTTCCCTCCCCTTCAGCTAGTCCTTCATTGAGTCCTGTTGATTCCACCACCACCATGTGTGTCAAACATGGTCATTTCTTACCTCTTCCATGGCTTTCCCCTTGCAAAGTCTTCTCTACCACAGTAATTCCCTATTTCTCCTTTTTCTCTTTCCAATTCATATTTGCATAGCTAAGATAGGTTTCCTGTTGCCTTAGAACATATTCTGATCTCTTCTCTTGATCTCCGGCTGTCTCTGCTTCTACCACCCTCTCCTGTCCTCAGTTTTGGCTCCACTGGCTGTTTTGGTTCTTTTAAATGCCCAGAGCACTTTCCTGCCTTTGGCCTTCCCACAGATGATCCCTCTGCTTCCTAGGCTTCTCTGTCCTCCCTTAGTTAGGCCTCTGCCCAGATGTCATTTTCCCAGACCTTCCAGAGCACTCAGCTTAAAGTAACTGTGTAGTTGTCTCTCAGTGTCTTGTTCATTTCCTCCCATCACACAGACCTTTACAGTTATCCGATAACTTGTGTCCCCACCATAAACTCAGGCTCTGTTTACCACTGTATACATAGGGCCTAGCAAACTATATTGTTCATAGAAGAAAGTGCTTTATAAAGGGTTGACAAATCAGTGAATAAGATAGGACATAAGTGCTTAGTGCACGGTGATGACTCTTAGTGGAGTTAGAGGGGAGGTGACATTGGGTGCTGAGTAGCTGGGGCTCCCATGAAGGGTAGGACTGGGCTCTGAAGGATGATAAATGAAACTTGGGGAAGTGGGGAGAGATCATCCTCCCCACAGAGTTAGAAGGTGAAGTGTAAATGAAAGAGACTGCCCTTCGGCCTGGAAGTAGCCAGATAAACTCGTTTCATGCCTATCCCAGGATTTTTGGAGAATGTTTTCTACTTGCCTTTTACTTCTGTCCCACTGTACTATCACCTGACCTTCTATGCCTAGAGTGTGTGTGGGTGTCTGTGAGCCTCAGTTTTCCTGAGGCTGCTATTTAGGGTGGTCTTCCTCTCTATGCTGACCCACAGGGAGCTCAAGTTGCCCCTAACCAGCTGCTTCCTCTTCTCAGGAGTGTCGCTTGATTTTCTCTGAGATAAGCCCACCCGTCCAGCAAAATAGAGTCCCTCAGGGTGACAGTTGACTTCCTGAAGGTGCCTCTTGGCCTGAAGAAGCCGGTGCTGAAGGAGGTGGCTGTGGGGCCCTCCAAGAGGCCCCAGCCCGCGGCCCTGGAGCGCTACAAGGCAAGGCGTTCAGACGCCATGGACACTGAGTCCCAGTACTCAGGCTATTCCTACAAGTCGGGCCACTCCCGCAGCTCCCGCAAGCACAGGTAGGCATGACAGAGGTGGTGGAGGGAGGGTTGGGGCCAGTTGAGAAGTGAGTATGTGCTAGGGTGGTAGCTTTCAGAGAAAACCCTGACCTTCCCCTTGACCTTCTGTGCCTGTTCCTCTGGCTTCCTGCTGCAGAGACCGCAGGGACAGACACCGATCTAAGAGCCGAGATGGGAGCCGTGGGGACAAGTCGGTGACAATCCAGGCTCCTGGAGAGCCCCTGCTGGACAACGAGTCCACTCGGGGGGATGAACGGGTGAGCACTGGGGAGATGATGTGGTCCCAACTGCTGGAGGCTCCGTCAGGGAATGAAAGGGTCTCCTTGGGCAGGAGGGTATCTCCTTATACTTAATTTCAGTTTAGTATCCCAGGATGGGAACCTATTGCAGTGAAATTCAGGGAATTTCAGTGGAAACCCTTTGGGAGCAGTAGCCTCTTCCTTCCTTATCTTGAGAGGCAGGAGTGGCCAGGCTGTGTAGTGCGAATTGTCCCCAGTTCCTTTGGAGCTGATGCCACCCATCAGGCTGATTGGGAGACTGGAGTAAGGTGGAGGTGGTGGTGGGTTGAGCCTGGGGTGTGCGGCAACCTTCCTTGAACCTTCAGGTGTGCACAGTGGGGTGCCCTCTACTGTCAGTCTGTGGAACAGCGTACCCATCACCCATCACTTATGGAAAGGAGATAGGGAAGAGTAGGTGGGGAAGGAGGAGGGAGAAGTGAGGCTGAGTAGATGGAGAGAGACCCTAGAAGAGAGTTCTCTAGGACAAGGTGAGCAGGTTGCTTCAGTCCTCACATCTGACTCATTGCCCTATCCTGATAGGGAGGACAGCAGACAGAATGCAGCAGGTGTGAGATTTGAGATGGTGGGATTGGAGGTTGCCCAGGTCTCATTCCTTCTGTTTTTTCCTCTTGGGAGCATCTTAGTGGACTGGAGACTCCCAGATCCTTATTCTTTAGAAAACAATCTGTGTATCTGACATTGGACTTCCTGGGTCTTGGGAGCAGATCAATACCTGAGGGAGAGATATTCTCTCTCCTTCTTTCCCAGGCCCTTCTCCCTGGGACCTGGCCTCCTGGGTTCTTGAAGGGACCCTGAGATATGATCAGCTCACCCATTGTTGGGGAGGAGTTCCCAAGCCCATCATCCTTGAGAGGGCAGGAAGTTGTTTGGGAGTCATAGACCCAGTTCCTTGAGCTGAAAGTGGCCAGCACATCCACTTTCTCTGTTCAGATCAGTCTTCTCTCATCCTTGGGAGAGAAGGTTCCTCGGCATCCCAAATCACTGGTCCTGCCAGACTGTTTCCTACACTCCCCTCCTGAGTCCTGTGGATGTCAAGATATGACTCCAAATGTCCAGGCTTTCCAGGAGTGAAGAATGTGGGCACTGAAGGTCCTGGTGATCTTGGGATGTCTCTGCAGTGTTGTCTTCAGCCACTGCAGGGAAACAGCTTGAGCAGACCACATTCTGCTGGGCACCTGGGGAGCCCAGCTTGTCCATTCCTTACCCCCACATCCTCTGTACTGTGGACATTCAGATGACCCAGCAGAGCTGGCTTCACAGAGACCTATAGTGACCCCAAGTCTTCACTGTGCCCCCATGTCCTTCTCCATCTTCACCCCGGTGTCATCTTCTCTATGCTGCTTTTGTCAGGTCACTCCCTTAATTAGAAACCAGTAGTAGCTTCCCAGGCCTGGATGTTGGGTGCTTATTGCTTAGCCTGGCATTGCAGCATGGTCCACACGAGCCCCACTTGGCTGCTCTTGGCTTCACCTTCCTGGCCCTGCACTCTGCTCCTACACTTGGATCCCCAGCTCTCTGTCTTCTGGGTGCCTTAATTCATGAAGGCCCTGCCCTGAGCACTGTTCCTTTGACTACTGCTGAAATCATGGACTGCTGTGGGAGCTGGAAGGAAGTTAGTTTTAGGGCAGTACTTCTAAAACAAAAATGCTCAAGCGATTCATGAAGATGTTGTTAAATGCAGATTTTGGTTCAGTAAATACGGGTGAACCTGTGGTTCAGTGTTTCTGACAAGCTCCCAGGTGTTGTTCACACTGCTGGTCTATCAAGCACATTTTGAGTAGCCAGCCCTTAGAGATCATTTAGTTCGGAGATTCTCAATCTTGGATGAACATTAGAATCATCTGGGGAGTTTTTTTTTTTTTTTTAATGTTGACAAGTAGATCTCATTCTGCATAATTGGTATCTTTTCCATACTCCCTGGGTGATTCTAATGTGTGCAGCTGGGGCTGGAACCACTAATTCAGTCCAATTTTTTCATGTCACCTGCTGCTATGGGTCAGCTCAGTTCCCTTCATTCCCTGGAAGCCTGCATGTTTTGCCTGGCAAGTCTGCCCTTAGCTCTCTATCACAGCCCTAGCAACTCCCTTGACATTTGTCCCATGCCCTCTTTTCCAAGGGTCACTGCTGCATGTGTGGTGTTTTCCTTTCTGATCTGTCTGTGAATAGCTCCCAAGGACCCCAATCTCAGACTTCAATATCTGCAGAGGCCAAATTTGGGCACATAGTGGAGCTCAGTAAATACTTTGATGATTGCATATTTGTTGATTTCCCTCTTCTTTTTGCCTTCTCCTTTTCCATGTGTTTTTCTGTCTTCTCTTCCTTCTCCTTTACCTTCTCTTATTCCTTTCCACTCATCCTGTGGTCCCCTCCTGTCTGTAGGATGACAACTGGGGGGAAACAACAACGGTAGTCACAGGCACCTCTGAGCACAGCATCTCCCACGATGACCTCACGCGCATCGCCAAGGACATGGAGGACAGTGTCCCACTGGACTGCTCTCGTCACCTGGGCGTGGCGGCAGGGGCCACTCTAGCCCTGCTCTCTTTCCTCACACCACTGGCTTTCTTGTTGCTGCCCCCACTACTGTGGCGGGAGGAGCTGGAACCCTGCGGGACAGCCTGTGAGGGCCTCTTCATCTCCGTGGCCTTCAAGCTGCTCATCCTGCTGCTGGGCAGCTGGGCTCTGTTTTTCCGCCGGCCCAAAGCCTCACTGCCCCGCGTCTTTGTGTTGCGTGCCCTGCTCATGGTGCTCGTCTTTCTGCTGGTTGTCTCCTACTGGCTTTTCTATGGCGTACGTATTTTGGATGCCCGGGAACGCAGCTACCAGGGTGTGGTGCAGTTTGCTGTGTCTCTGGTGGATGCCCTGCTCTTCGTGCACTACCTGGCTGTGGTCCTGCTAGAGCTACGCCAGCTCCAGCCCCAGTTCACGCTCAAGGTCGTGCGCTCCACTGATGGTGCCAGCCGCTTCTACAATGTTGGCCATCTCAGGTATGGTTGGCCTTGGAGTAGGTAGGGTGGGAAAGGGTTTTGAGGGAAGTGTGTGGTGATGGGGCTGGAGGTGATGGGCTAGGTGGGAAGAAGTTGAGTACTTTGTACATGGTTGGTTTTCAGTAGTGTTTGCTGTTTAGTGGGAAGGCTGTGGGAAAGATGGCAGTGGGAGTTATGAGCTGGGAATGAACAGGCAATTAAAGATCAGGAATCCTAGAGGAGGATGGACCAAAGGGGAGAGAGGTATAGAACATGACTTTTCTAGTCCTTTCTTAGAGGCACAGCTTCTTGTTAGCACTGTATGAGTGTCACTGATGATAAGCCAGAGGAGGGACCTCCAGAGAACGAGATAAGGAGGATAAGTCAGCTCCCACCAGGCTTGTGGGCAGGATGCCACCCTCCCCGGCCATGCACAGTTTCAGTGGTACCTCCTGGTCCTGTCAGCAATCTTAGGAGAATGAGGAGGGGGATGAGGAGACCTCTGACTGGGACCTAGGCCCAATGCCTCTTCTCCCTCGGGCTTCTGCACAGCAGGGAAGGACTAGCAGGCCCAGCCCTGGGAAAGGTTTGGGGCCTGGTAAGTAGAACTCAGGCTTGAGCCAGGCTTCCTGGAAGCAGCTTGTCCTGTCATGTGTCCTTTCCAGCCCTGCAACCTGCCCTGATGTGTCCCTTCCCCTGCACCCCTTGTCTGTCCCTTCTCCCTCCCCCTCCTGCCGTCTCCCCCACAGCATCCAGCGCGTGGCAGTGTGGATCCTGGAGAAGTATTACCATGACTTCCCTGTCTACAACCCTGCCCTCCTCAACCTGCCCAAGTCCGTCCTGGCCAAGAAAGTGTCTGGCTTCAAGGTGTATTCTCTCGGAGAGGGTGAGCGGCCCTGCTCCTCCACCCCTCCCGGCCTCTTCCCGAGCAGGGCTCCAAGTTCCTTCCCTCTCCCTTTCACTCTCACCCTTTTCCCCTTGCTTTTTCCTTTCTCCAGCCTGTGTCCCCAGCCTGCTCCATTCTGTCATTTCCCTTGACTTCAGGTAGCTGGTCTTAGCTGCTGATTCTACTTGCTGTCCCTTTATGCTATGGTGTGTCCCTCAGTCTAGCTCCTCTGTGTCTGTTCATCAGCCCTGGTCTAAGCCCAGTTCTCCGAGCTGCAGAACCTCCTGAACTGGGAGGAACCTGTGCAGGACTCCTGCCCTTCCAACTTCTGGTTGCTTTCCTGTGGCCTCTCCCAGAGGTGGACAGGATGGCTGGGACTGGGAGGTATTGCTGGGTGGGTCCAGCTTCTTCTGGACATATTAGGCTATCTCTCCAGAGCTCCTAGAGAGGGAAGAGAGGCCATATTTTAATATGACCATCTCCTGTATCCTGATCCTGTGCAGAAAACAGCACCAACAACTCCACCGGCCAGTCTCGGGCTGTGATTGCAGCAGCGGCCCGGCGGCGGGACAACAGCCACAACGAGTACTACTATGAGGAGGCCGAGCATGAACGCAGGGTCCGCAAACGGAGGGCCAGGTGGGTCTCTGGGGGAGAGGAAGAATGCGGTGGGCATGGGGTTGCCTGTGGGAGAACTAGGCAGAGGAAGCCCAAGGGACTCCTATACTTGCTGGAAATAGAGGAGCAATGATGATATCCATTTTCCAGTGCTCCCAGAATTGGCTACTCAGCAGCTGTAAAACAACATATATTTATTACCTTCCCATACCATGGGTCATGTTCAAGCTTGCTGGGCAGTTTGCTCAGGCCTCATAGACTGAAATCAAGACAACTTTCACCTAAGCCTGGATTTCTTTTTCTGGACTTTCACCTCCAAGCTCACTGGCTTTTGGCAGAATCACTTCCTTATCATGCTACCCCATAAGCAGTTTCTAGAATGACAGTTGTTTTTTTCTAACAGAAGTAATCTCTCTCTGACTTCAGCCAGAGAAAAGTGATTAAAGAGGTATGTGTATCCCTTCATGATGACACACGTGATCAGGTATATAGAACAAAGATCCTTAGCCCCATTTCTGCGACATTCCGTGAGTCCAGTTGACTCAGAAATGGCTCTTGTTGCAAGGAAACCAGTGATGGTCCCTACCCCTTTGCTGTCTTTCGACTAGGGTCGTCGAATCTCATGTTCTGCCACCACCATTTTGGGAACATAGGGGGAGTCTTTCTTCTCTTCCATTACCTTTCTTATAACTGGTAGAAAACTTTTTCCTTTGGTTCACCGTGACAAAAAGATCTTTTCAAAAGGAATTTTACTGAGAAACTTAAGGGAAGCAAAAGAAAGAACAGAAACTATCAGCATACACAGATCACATATAGATAGTCCGAAGTTCCATCCTAAGTTGATTAAGGTCCCAGATCTTAGGGTTTCTGTATTCAGGGCCTCCTGTTACCTCAGGCTGATCTTGTTCTTAGGCCAGGTGGGTTTTATTTTGCTTTTGGACTTCAGATGCAGAGAATTGCATTACTTACCCCTCTCAGTTCCTAACACGTTGTTATTATAGGTTTCTTCACAGTCCTTTATTCTATTTTCCCTCTCCCCCAATCCCTACCCTCACTTCACCCACATTTTAGGCCCTTACTATAGTGTGTTAGATTTCATTAAAACCTGTCTGTATCTTTGTACAAATTTAGTGTTGATTTGTGTGTCTATGTGCTTTTAGTGTAAGTTGACTTCTTTTTCCTGTTTTCCCCTTAACACTGTATTTTTTAGATTCATCTATGTTGTCTATACATCCGTTTGGTTCATCTTATCACTGCATAGTTAGTACTTTATAAAATACTCTCAACATCCTAACCAGTATTTGAAGTATAACCATCTTTCTACTTTTTTCCCATTGTGACGGAGAAATTAAGTGTTATAATTTGCATTTGTCTAATTACTGACCTGTAACTGTTTGATATGTTTTTTAGCTTTTCAAACCTCTTGAGAATTGTTTACTTCGTGGCATTTTTCTAAAGAATTATTGCCTTTTTCGTCTTGATTTGTAGCAAATTCTTTGCATAGTCTAGATACCTGTCCCTTGTTGGTTTTAGATGCTGCATATATCATTTCACCTGCATTGGATGTCAATATTGCCTGTGCTATTATGGCCAAGTAGAAATTTTTTAATGTAATCATATCTATTAATTTTTGACATGATGAAATGTGGTGTGGGGTCTTATTTAGGAAGGCTTTTCTTAGGGTTTGACAGGCTACTTGGTCTTTCCTACAGCATGGTTCCTAGTTGTCTCTCTGGGTTTGACACTAGACTTACTGTCTTTGAGTTTCTGGGCTGGGCTCAGTGTGTTTCACAGTTGTTTCTTGGTCCCAATGTGGTAAAGTCCCCCACCCTGCAGAAGCCCAGCTCGGTTCCAGATGGGCTTATATTGCTTCAGGGAAAATACAAAGGCCTGAACTCATTCAGGTTGCAGCAGTTAAGAGTTGGCGTGGGGGCTGAAGATGAGAGACGGGCACCTGGTTCAGGCCTCTCCCATCTCCCAGGCTCGTGGTGGCGGTGGAGGAGGCCTTCACTCACATTAAGCGGCTACAGGAAGAGGAGCAGAAGAACCCCAGAGAGGTGATGGACCCCCGGGAGGCAGCCCAGGCCATCTTTGCATCTATGGCTCGTGCCATGCAGAAGTACCTTCGGACCACCAAGCAGCAGCCTTACCACACCATGGAGAGCATCCTGCAGCACCTGGAGTTCTGCATCACGCATGACATGACGCCCAAGGTGGGCTCGCTGCTCCCAGTACCCTTCCTCTTTTCCCAGGTTCTGGTACTCTTCTACCTTTTCCCTTGTACTCTTACTTCTCTCCTCACTCTCCATCCCTGATGCCCCGTCATCTCCATCTCCTTGTAATCTCTTTTTTCATTCTTACCCTGTCTACCCTGTCTACGTGGAGTGAAGTTCATGGGGTGAACTATTTGAGGACAAATGAGACCTATTTTTCATCTTTATAAGGACTCTAGAATTTCTACATCCAAATTCCAACCTTGAGCCTCTTCACCTCTACCAGATGGTCTTTGTCCTATGCTCATTTCTAGTCTTTGTTCACCCCTTAACTCAATCTTCAGCGTCCTAGAATGGCTTTTCTCTGAGCCATCCGTGGTGAAAAGGTGACTAAAGATGCGTTGTACTTTAATCATGGCCCCCTTGCCTCCCTCTTAGTACAGTTCTACAAGCCCTAATCATGCAAGTATGGGAGGGAAGGGAGAAAGAATAAAAGAGGGCTTGCCCAGGTCACAGCTGGTGCAAGGAGAAGAGTGGAGGATGGGGTGGGGAGTTGAGTTCCAGTCCTGACTTCTCAGAGCCACATCCCTTCTGTGGTTACTGTCTTCCTCATCTGTGCTGCAAGGGTCAGAAGCAAGTGATCTCAGACCCCTTTCTGCTCTAATATTCTAGGTTACTAGTTCATATGTACAGAATGAACTTGGGGACATGTTAGCCACCTTTGGAAGCTTTCCACCTTCATTCTAGGGGATAAAGGATAGTGGGTGGGTGAGAGTGATCCTTAGGCAGAACCTTTTCTTCCCCTCAGGCCTTCCTGGAACGGTACCTGGCAGCGGGACCCACCATCCAGTACCACAAAGAACGCTGGCTGGCCAAACAGTGGACACTGGTGAGTGAGGAGCCAGTGACCAGCGGTCTTAAGGATGGCATCGTTTTCCTCTTAAAACGCCAGGACTTCAGCCTGGTGGTAAGCACCAAGAAGGTGCCGTTCTTCAAACTCTCCGAGGAATTTGTGGATCCCAAGTCACACAAATTTGTCATGAGGCTGCAGTCGGAGACCTCAGTGTGACTGTGCAACAACAGAAGAGTGGGAGACTCTGGGGGCTCCTGTGGGGTGCGAGGGGCTTGGTTCTCAGGCCCAGCCACATTCCTGCTGCCCTTTCTCCTGCTCTTGTTTTTTTACTTGAATTAACTTACCCCTCACTGTCTCCTCCCCTCTTTCTTATTTTACCCCATGTGAATCTGGAGTGACCATCCTGCTGTTAATATCCTGGGAACCCCCCATCCCCCACTTTTGTATCATTCCAGGCCCTGCAGGAATCTGTGCCTCTCTCCTTCTCCCAGACTTTCTCCAAATGGCAGTCTTTCCAGATTGTACCTTCTGCTCCTCAGTCCCCCACTCACAAACCCGTTTTTATAACAGTTCTCTTCAGTGCCCCTGACAGAGTTTCGGGGGGTGGGGGTGGGGGAGGGGAGGTCACAGACTTGACTCCAGAGAGCCTCAGTGCCAAACTCTTCCAGGCCAGCAGCTTCCCCCTACCCACCCCCCTTCACCCCATCTATAACCAATCCTGAGTCCTAGGGCAAGGTTGATCTGTCACATAGCCCCAGAGTTACGAATCTCCCTGCTGTGATGTTTGCTTCCAGTTGTTAGATTCATCCTCCCCCACCCACACATACTAGAGCAAGAAAAGGCGCTATACTTTACCTGGAAGTTTCTACCTGCCTCACCCACCATTTCTGATTTTTATGGTCATGTGTGACCACAGCAAACTGAGGTGGAAACCCTCTGACCACTTTACCAGGACTGTGGGGGAAGGTCTAATGTGTCCTCCTGAGTGGAGGGGCAGGATAGGTCCCTGAAGTCTAAGAGACTCTTGTCACCGACCCCTGCCTTGCCCTTCATTCCCAGAGAAGGATAGCATGTAGACTCCTGTACAGACCCAGCTGTGTGCAGACCCTGACCAGCCCTGTGGTCTTAGATGTTTTCTTTCCTGCACCAGCTACCCCAGTCCTGCTGAATTCTAGCTCCAGAGACCTGTTGCCTCATCTCTTCTTGGGGGAGGGGCCAACAGCTCCTCCTCATCCCCTGCCTTAAGTCCAGTTCTTTGCCTCAGGGGTCTCTTTTCCTTGGCCTTTCAGGGTCCCCTCTTCTTCTTTTCCTGCCTGGTTCTCTGGGCTCTGTATTGGGGTGACCAGGATTACTGCCTTTTTTGACCACTTAGCTCCTCACTCCATTTTAGTTTCTGTAGTCTTTGCACCAAATCTGAATTCTCGTTTTGAGCAAAATTTATTGGTCCTCTACTACATGTGTTCAGAGTAAATTTGAGCCTTTAAATCAGACACCTGTAAATTGTGTAGTTTTCATCACAGGGAATAGAAATAGAAAAATACCCATGTATATCCTGCCAAGATCCATGTGGAAGATTGTTCTAATGGCTGGGATGAAGCATGCCCTGGCCAGTTCTCTAAATAACTTCCAATGCCCCTGGATAGGCCCTCTTTTCCCTGGAAAATTTGGTGGTCCTTACCTTGCACATCACAGCCTGCGATAAGATCCCTACTGATCTCTTACCTGGGAGATGTACTTTCTGAGCCTAGTGATTGGGTTTCTCCTGCTATTGTGTCTGAAAATGCCTCTGTCACTTATTGCTTAGGAGAGGAGCTCATCAGTCAGTGCTTACCTTGTCCCCACAGGAGAGGGCTGCAGGACTGACTTAGGAAGGACCTCAAGGTTGGCCTAGGGCTGGAGCTGGCAGTCCCTGGATAGACCTGTGTGAAATATATTCTGTCCTGAGTCATGGTAAGGTATCTTTTCTTCAAAAACCAGGTTTCAGAGGAGTTCCTTTTGCGTCACATAAATACTTCACTATCCTGGAAAACAGGGCCTGGATGGTGATTGGGTTCATTGCCTTTGTGGGCAAGAATGTGATGTGGTGTGGTTTGAGGAGTGAGTTGGGGTAGGCAGAAGAAAAGTATTTGGGATCTTAGTTGCTACCCTAGGTTAGGGGCTGGGGAGTGTTTATTTTAAGAACCTGCCATGTTTTTAATCACTGTGATATTTTCATTCCTTTTTTCCCTGAAACAGAAAGAAAAAATTTCCCCCAACTTTGTCTAAGCACTAAGGGCTGTGACTAAGAATGGTAGCATTTTGGTCCTTTGTGTCAGAACTGTGGTATCTTTGTGTTCTTTGGTTAATATTATTATTATTTTTGAAAACGTCAGGATGTTAAGTGTATGGCTGTGTGTGTCTTTTCCTTCTCCATTATGGGAAGTTGTCTTCATGCTGTGAACTGCTATGGAGTGAGCAGCTGACTCAGTCACTTTGAGCAGTTTCCTCCTCCAGGCCTGTCCCACCAGTTACTCGGTTTTCTCATTCTTCTGTTGCTGGAATGTACCCATCGACCGCAGCCCCATCACCACAGGGGATGCCGTGCTGGGCCTCTCCAGAGCTCTTGTTGCTATTACTATATGGCATCCTAGCTCATCCCCACTGCACCTACTCAGCCTTCCTTTTCATACCCTCAAAACACTTGCCGCCTTCCCTCCTTGCCAGGACACGGTGCCTCAGTCCTTCACCTACCTCACCATTCTGTCTCTGTCCCCCCTGAACCAGTGTTTGTGTTCTGTCTGTGTGTTCTTATTTATGTCCGTCCAATCTCACTTTTCTTCCCATCCCCCTTCATCTCTGTGCTTAAATTTTCATTTCCAAGCCCACCTTAGCATCACCATTGTAAACCCTGATACAACACCAGCGATGAGACACCAGGATACACCAGGATACCAGGGTTTGTGCCTCTCTTCTTCTTTACTGGGCTCCCTTCATGGCATCTGTCAGTCTCTTTTCTCTTTCCTTTGCCCTTCCTGTGGGGGCAATATCTGCTGATGGATTTGATCTGTGTGCAAAAGGAAGGGGCCTTTTGAGTCACTTCCAAGTGAGATTGTAAATGTAGAATTTTCCATTGTTGGATCTAGATTTTTTTCCCTTTTTTCTTTTTTTAACCTTCTTTTTTTGGGTTACAGAGCTGAGACCTTGTGCATGCATGTAGAAAATTGTAAAATGTAAATTTTTTTTAATATATAAAAAGCTTGTTTTTACAGTTTGCAGTGGATTAAACATTATGGCAATTTTAAGGATTTTTTTCTTAAACATAGGAACTAAAACTGTAAATTTTTTTTATATAAAATAAAGACATTTGACTTTTGTGGGGGCATTCTGCTGCTTTTCTTTTTTCAGAGGAAGTGGGAACTGAAGAATCAGGGAGAGTATGTAGCACTCCTTGCCAGGGAGTGGGCAGCAGGGGGCGGTGTGAGCTTGCCATTGCTCCACAGGCCTGGGGTGGTGCTGGAGAGCAAGGGAAAATAAACCCTGATTCTGAGGGGAAAACTGTGATGCTTTGTAGTTGGGAGGATAAGGAGGAAGGGAAGACTGCTTTCAGGGTGAGTCCTTTAGAGCAAGCTGTGTCTCCCCTTCCTGCAGGTGAGGTTAGAGTGGGGTTCTAAAATGTGTTCTAATGAAGAAGATGCCGTAGCAGTGTCAGGAACTAGTTGATGATTGCAGTAACTTCTCACATTTATTTATTTATATATTTTTAAGAGAACCGGTCTTGCTATGTTGCCCAGGCTGACCTTAAACTGCTGGGTACCAGCAATCCTCTTGCCTCAGTCTTCTGAGTGCCAAGACTACGGGCACTCAGCTTATCTTTTATTTTCAAGTGTGTAGATGCCATCGTGTTGTCACTGTGGTGTTTGACCCAGATCTAGGATCATCATCAAGAGATAACAGCCCTTAGCCAGACCTGGTGACACACACCTGCAATCCCAGCATTGAAGAGGCTGAGGCAGGAGGATCGGGAGTTTGAGGCCAGCCCAGACTACGTAGCAAGACCTTGTTTCAAAAAACAAAGCAAGAGATCAGCTTTTTCCATGCCTGACCTCTGTGACTTTCATTTACTCTTCTCTTCTCTTCCTTTTTTTCGTTCAGGATCTCACTATGTAACCCAGGCTGGCCCTGAACTCTCAATCTTCCTGCCTCAGTCAGGCAAGCACCACCCATCTTCTCTGTGATTGGGCAAAATATGTAGCACCCAGACATCCGTCTAAAGTTAAAAACAAACAAACCTAACCTTTCCTATGTGGAATTGACCAGATTTACTGGATCTAGTTCTCTTGGGATGTGCCAAGAGAGACTCGGTGCTTGTCCTGGAGGTAGGCCCACTCTATAGGAGGTAGCAGACCTAGTGCTAGGCTGTATGGCATGTTCCTGGCTGATACCAAGGAATGGGGGGGGGGGCTTTCCTACTTCAAGATATTGAGAAGTTTTTTTAAGACTCAAGAAGGGGTTGCACAGTCTCCTTGAGATTAGATTTTGCTCTCCCAAGTTTTCCTCACAGAGTTGGTGTCAATAAATTACTGAATGAATAATGGATTAAACTAACAATATATTAGGGACGTATGCACATGCTTGTCTCCCCTCTGTTTAAAGTTGTATTCCAGCTGGGTGGCTCACACTTGTAATCCTAACCTTATTGGAGGCTGAGATCGGGAGGATTATAGTTCAAGGCCAGCATGGGCAAAAATTTGTGAACCCCCATCTCAACAGAAAAAAACTGAGCATGGTGGCATGCACCTGTCATCCCAGCAATGACAGAGCTTAAATAGGAGGATCGCAGTCCAGACTGGCCTGGGCAAAAAGTGAGACTTTATTAACCAGAGCAAAAAAGGCTTGGAGGGTTGGTATAAGCAAGTGCCTGCCTTGCAAGTACAAAGCAGCCAAAAAACCACCAAAAAACTGTACTCAAACCTTTCTCATGTGAAAATAAACAAAAACACTTCCCTTGAAACTGTACCTCCATACTCACAGTTCTGTCCTTTTGTAGCTACACTTGTGGAAGAATAGTTTGATTTGCTGTTTTCAGTTCACCTCAGAGTCAACTTTTGACTTGTAGCCAAATTTCTACCTCAGCATGCCTTTGAAATTATTCTTGAAATGTATAAGTGCTTTTGAGTATTGTTCAGTTCCCAGCCTGGTATGAAAGTGCTTTGACTGGGAATGATATTGTGTATGGTCCTGCATTCACATAACCTTTGTGGACCTTTGAGGAGTCTGTATCCAACATCATGGACCTCTTCCTGTAAGGCAGGCCTTAGGAACTAATAGATTTAAGGCCTGATCCTAACCTTTGGTTAGTGGGACCATATTTTCTTTAGGGGTTTGCTGAAAGTAAAAGTGATTATCTCAGCTATTTGTTATGTAACAATAGGTATTTGTAACTTGTAGCTGAAAAGGTCCATTTTCACATATCACTGAAGATAGAGACTCAGCTTAGTGGATTGTCAGGATCTTGCCTGGGACATGCTGCCTTGGATGTGATTGTCTAACCTTTGCCTTTGAAATACAGCGGAAAGAGAACAAGGGGCTGGGATTCTGGATGACCTGACATAAAGACCTTAGACCCAGTTCTTAGTAATTAGTTATTAGGTTTTTTTGTCATGGGGGGCAGTTCAATGACTTTTACAGAACTAAAGCCAACTGCTTAAAATAGCTCCTGGCTTCTTATTTGTTAGTTTAGGCAAATGATGGAAATGATCTTCCAGTGGCTGGGACTGGGGTGGGGTAGAGTCAGCATTTGGAAGGCCATTGCAG